AGGGAGAGAAGTGTCATGATGTTGTTAAGGCTCAGCCCCAAGGAGAAGCCTTTCCTTTGAGCTGTGATCCGTACCGGAGTCGAGGTATTCCAGCACCTCATGTAGCTCCAAGCAGGTCCTGGAGGACCCACCACGAAAGTGCTGTTTTCCCTCTCCACTTGCCTTGCAAGTCATCTTGCCGAGTTGGTTGCACCTTTTAGAGATGTCTTCTGCTTCCTTCTAGCAGTGAGACATTTGCTGTGTCTTTATCTGTGAAATGTGGCTCGGTGTGCTTCTACGTGCACACTCTGCCTCCAGAATAGGTATGGATAACCCTAAAACTTACCTGCCCAAGTAGACTCCCCCACACACACACGTTTTAAATTGGTTTTAATCTTTAATGTATTTTCTTTATCCCTGAAAAYAATGTATATCTCTGGATGCTAACTTATGTTGCTTGTATACCTGCCCTGCAGATGACAGAAGATTGATATTCCTGCAAAAAGGTYTGTGAGGCATCTCGGAAGCAATGAAAGCAGTGGAGATGCATTGTTCTGGTCTCAGTGAGAGATCACGTAGGAACTAATACTCCTTTTAAAAATAACCTTTCATTATGTAGAAAAAAGTTAGGGCTGTTACACATTCACTCAGAAAGTAGGTATGTTAAATTATAGATGGTCTGTGTTGTACCAGGGATGAGTTTAGTAAACAGTTCACCCAAGCATTAATTTAGTAGCTGCCTTGTGTTTACAGATGGATATGCATTTTTTTAAAGCCTTTTACCTGTAAGTCTGTGTAACCTGTAAAACTATTTATTTGGTTATGTCTTTCTTTATTCCAGCATATCATTTCCATGTGATTTGGTAATCCATCACTAATGTGCTTTTCTGTTACTGAGCTGTCTTTCTGTATGGAGTGTGATGCTTTTTATAATCCCTTCCACGTGGGGCAGAAAGTCAGAGACGAGCATTGCTCTCAACAGGCTCTGTGTTCGGGTTGTCTGCCCAGCCCTCAGAGTGCAGTCACCATTAACTCTTTTACATACCAACATAGAAATAGAAATCTTTTCAGCCTCTCTTTTCATGGTTAAAGTATTCAAAATTTCAAACTACTTTTTCATTGCTTTTTCTATACAGCATGACAGACTGAAGCCTAGAAAAACTACTATAAGTGCAGTGCCATAAGAAGGTCTAGGTATTTCCATTGACGGCAAAAAAAASCAATTATTTTTGTATCTATAATAGTCAAATTAATATTGTAGTGTCATAACCTAAAGTTTGCTCCGAGTTGCATTTCTCATGTCCTTCAGGAAGGGCTTTGTTTCCAGCCGCCAGCTAAAGAGCCCTTCCGTGCTGGGCTGCTGGGTAGGCAGATGCCAGGCACAAAAGATCCAGATGATCTCGGGATCTCTGGATGCCTTTTGACTTGTTTTGATGTGGTCATGGGAGTCGGTACTTATGTAAGTGTTGAATCAAAGCCAACGTGCTGCAGCTCGAGGGGCTTTCGTGAGATTTGTGCTACTAAATTCCTTAACTTATTCCACAGAGAACGGCTGCTTTAAAGCTCCCAAAACACGAACGACTTGGCTAAGGTCTAGTTGTGAAGAACTGCATTGTTTGGGTTGTTTAGTGTATTCAGGGCCTGTGCAGCAGGAGCATGTGCTGGGTTTTGTGTTTCTTACTGCTAGCTGTGCAGCGCCGCAGTGACAAGATGCTGTAGGAGGCCAATGAGAGCATTCCCTGGGTGAAGGTGGATCTAATTTAGGCAGCAAACATGGGGTGTTACATAAGGGAGCAAGTCTGTTTTCACTCCAGAATGGCTAGCTTGGGAAAGCTAATGCTTATAACCAGAAAGATAAAGCTGTGCACATTTTGTGAGCAGTAAATACAAATATACTGCAGACCTCATTTGGGGAAGAGACTACAAAATGATTCTTTCATTCTTTTCAACCTGCTTTTTTTTTCTGGCATCTACATATAGTAGGAGTTGGAAATTAAGAGCAATTATTGCAGTTTGTGCATGTTAGAATAAAATCAGTGTGAAAAATTGTACATTTAAATAATGCCTTTAAGGCTACAGAGTATTACAGACACTGCCATTATATGTATGGTACAATAATGTCCTTAGAACYGGGAGAAACCCTCTAGACATTTCAGTAAAGGAAATGAAAGGTAACAATAGACTCCAATAGGAAACTGCTCTGAAAATGAAAAGTAATTGTAGGAGCTTCCCTGCAAGTAATTATAAARAATGACTGGAAGGAGAGTGACTGACGATATATCCTCCAGGAATGGCATTTAACTGTTAGTTAGTGCAGACTGGCGTTAATAAACAGTTATTTGTGAAGAAAGGGGAGTGTAAAACATAATGTCAAAATGAAAGAATAATTTCAAAAATACTGTGTTCTGTTTTAGAMCCAACAGACCTTTAGAATTAACCACCCCCCGCCTCAAAAGAAAAAATAAAAGAAAGAAAGAAAAGGAAAAAAGGAGAGGGGTGACGTATGTATTTTGGGTACGGAAATCTCAAGTATCCCCATATTTTAACAGTGTTATTTTCCTTCCAACTTTCAAAAAAAAAGTTTCAAGAAAAGGAATCCGTTCATATGAAATATTTGCAGTGTATGGGGTTTGCACATTCAAAGCTTTAATGATATTCTGTATTTCATTTTCCTTTCAAAATCTGTTTTGCAAGTTTTCAACTGGTATAAACGATGCTATCCTTTTGGAAAAGCATAGTCAATTGAAATTCACTGGAGTTGCCGATTTTTAAAGATTTTTGTCCTATTTCCTGAAGAACCACAATTTCTTCAACAAGTCAGCGGGGGAAAAGGCAGCTCAAATCACTGATGCAGCTGCCTCCTCTTGGAGTGGGTGGCTCTTTTATGCCACCCCACCATGCGGACACTGATAAGCATTTGCAGAAACCTCTCCAGTTGGATGGCAGCAGTTCTGGCTGAGCCAGGCCCCCAAGCAGGAGACAGAGGTGAGAAGGAAGGACAGGAGAGCAGACTTGACGTGTCTTGTCCTTCAGCCATTCGGGTGACAGCCAAAACTGTTGGAAAAGTGGTGTCCCCATAYGGGTTCATTTTGTTGGCCTGGTCTTGTCTAGCCCTGGACAATGGAAAACCAGTGTCATGAAGCATCATGTAGTCCCAAGAAGGGTAAACCACAGGATTCGAGCCATCTCTGCCTTGCCACTCTCATGGTGCTGTTGGCTCCCAAGAAAGGGCAGTGGATGCATCTTCACTTCTGGTCTGCAGATTAGCTTTGTGTTGGGAACATCAGTTTTGGCTTATGGATTTCTGGTTCGTTTCTGCTATCTGGATATTTGAGGTATGACCTTAAGTGGGTGGCCGCTGGTTGCCTCTTTCTCTCAGGCATTCTTAAGCAATACTCCTGCAACTCTTCTCTTGGCTCTTGGATTTCCCATTTACAGGTGTTACTTTTTCCCTACCAATTGTTAATATTTAAGCCATTGTAGTGTTCCTTTTAGCTGTAATTATTCCAGTTATGTTTCATCATTAAATTGCCTGCATCTGTCTTGCTGCTGTTCCACTCAACGGGAGGTGTTTTGATTCTGTCATGATGGGTGAGCAAACCTCTCTTCACCAGTGTGTGTCCTGTAGCAAAGCAGACCGTGCTGCCTGCTCAGGAAAGATGTGAGACATCTGAAAGGGAACAGAGTTGTTCTCTTGAGGCAGGTGTCTAACTGTGAACTGCTGAAGTTCAAAGTGGTCAAGTTTAAAAATGACGGAGGTTTGCAGGAGCCACTAGCATGTACCTAGGGTTTTAGGGTACAGTCCAAGCTCTTTATCAGATGATGYGGCATCTGATGGGCAGGAAAATGCAGAAGATGAACTTGGAGAAGATGCATTATAAGTGATCAAAAACTGTGGTATCTGCTTTAGATACCTAGAAGCATTTAGGGTTGTTCRGTTGGTTTGGGCTATGTGGTTGTGTCTAACAACCCATTAATTGAAGGCCTGGTTGCTGTTCTGGAATATGTAACCTGATGCAGACTCTACATCAAATTGGATTTAAAAATTACTGTCTCAAAYTTGGGTAGGGAGCTTCCTTACTTTCCTAGTCGTAGAAGTCAGAAGTTTCTCTGATAACCTTGCCAGCCTGGTTCCCTGTTGCTGCAGGGTTATCAMTGAGCATCTTCTCCATGCCTCTCAGTGAGGTTTGTCTCACGACCCTCATGTATAGCGCTTCCTACGCCCCTGTGTGCTAGTTCCTGGAGATGCTGAGGTATGTATCCTGCTTTTCTTAAAAGTAAGCATTGTTCTGGAAGACCAATTTCTGGGACCTGAGGCTTTCAAGGCAACAATGAGGAGAAGTACAGTTTATTGTATGTAAGAAGCTTAATGTGGGCTATAGCCTGTGTTCCAGGTAGGACTTTCATGGATATTCAGACCCTGAAGGGGAGCAAATTTTGTCTTGCCTATTTGATTAGCTCTTTTGAAGCAAGGTGTGGAGTTAGGTAACCAGTTAGCTTCTCCTTCAGGGTAACTTTTTTGATGGCTGATTTGTTTTCTTCTGTGTGGTTCTGTAGTGGCACAGCCAACAGTCAAGGCCTTAGATTTGTCTCCCAGTCACTTTGTCTTGTTAGGGATCTGCTCTGATCCTTAAGGGCATGTAGTGATGATAAAGAGGAACATTTACTTTTCTTTTTACATTGCGTTGTTGCAGACAATTACTGKAGCTTGCACAGCAGAAATGTCTTTGCATGTATCTAATGAAGTAACTAGGTGTTTTTAAAATAACAAAATCCTTTTTTTCTCAATAGAAACTGTATTTTCAAATAATTTGACTACTTCTGCTAGCAGCTGTCAGCAATTAAATTGATAGACAATTTAGTGTGACACGAAGTTTGAACGCATCCATCTGTGTTCAGATCCATGTGCACTTTAAGCAAATGAGTTCAGAAGTTTTTCAGTAAATCTAGGTTATCCAGACTGTGTGAAGAGTTTCATCAAATAGGGAATGTTTATGCTTTGCTTCTGACTTTCCTCGTAGCTGCAAGAGAATCCATCTGGTTAGAAAGAGAAGAGAGAGCCCGGCAACATTATGAAAAGCACTTAGAAGAACGCAGAAAGAAACTCGAAGAGCAGAGACTAAAAGAAGAGAGGAGGCGAGCTGCTGTAGAGGAAAAGAGAAGGCAGAGGTTAGAAGAAGATAAGGTAAGCAGAAATGTCCTGATAACTTTATCTGCTTGCTTTTACTGTGAGATATGATAGCTTCAGGCTCTCAAATGAAAAGTTCTGAGCAGAGATGTGATGTAAGTCGCAGTTAGTGTAAGAGCACAAAAGAGAGAACTTTAAGCTCTACCTCCACAGATATTCCTTCAAGTGCCCTCTACAAATTTAATAGTTAAGCAGGTCAGGGTCACAATGTATGGCACAGCACAAACACGCACAGAAGTGTAGAAACCAAGTGGGTGGTTCCTTTATGATCTGCTCTGGATCACTAGCTTTTCAGCGCCAGGGGAGCTAAATACTAGTTTTCTTCTGACAAAGCCTTGAAGAAAGCAAGGAATTATATTGAATACACTTTTGGCTAACCCATTTCTTGGGTTACTTGAATGGTAATTACTTGCTGTTGATCCTCAGTAAGTTGCCTCATCCTTATGTCAGCTTTTTCTTTGTTCTCACTGACCTGCCACTTTAGTAGGGGGAGATGCAAGGTGAGAAGTGGTCCTGTGGTGTGTGCGTGCAGTGCCGACCATAACAGGGACACTGGTTCTCTCTGCAGCTCTGTGCAACTCTCAGGCCTTCCCTTTTCAAAACTGCAGTTAATGATTGACCTTATTTATGGCTTAACTACTGCCTTGTCATGGTTTATCTGAGTGTATGCCTTAGTAGGCAGCACTTCAGCTTGGACACAGCTCCAAGGTGCCTGATAGTTGCTGTCTGTGGGGAGGGTAGCCGAGTGTGATGGGAACATTCACATAAAAGCCCACTRGCATCCAACCCTGTTACCCTGTTGCACTTAAGGAACGCCATGAAGCTGTTGTACGTCGCACAATCGAAAGAAGCCAGAAGCCAAAACAAAAGCAAAGCAGGTGGTCCTGGGGAGGAGCACTACACAGCAGCATTAATAACACAGGTAAAGGGGGACTGGCTCGCCCTGCCCTGCCCGGTAACTGCACAGAATTTACTTGGRTTCCCTTGAAAGGAAGGGTGATGCGGTGTGTGCTGGTTGCAGTTCTTTAAGCTAGGTCTTTATTGCCGGGGGGAGCTTTTTTCTGAATTGCTTGTGTGGCTAAGAGGTAACGAGGAGAAATCTGGGTGGAAACTGCAGCTTGTCCCTGGTGCTGTCCTGCTGCAGCTTCTTGCTTGGGCTGCTTTGGTGTTTGYGTGTGTTGAGGGGGGTTGTGCTTGTGTGTGTGTCAGCTCTCCAGTGCAAACGTTAAATATCACTGCTCAGGAAATACTTTCTGGTGGAAATGACCAAATATTTAGACGGGGGGAAGGAAATTTGTTTTTTTTTCTGTGATAAGCTCTCTTTAATACATTACGCAGATACTCATGGAGACTTTTCTCCCTAGAGGAACTTAAAGGTGGACAAATGAAGTGAATTTAGCTGCATGCTTTTTTCCCCAGTTACCTTCTGTAACTGACTCTGCCAGTCATTGCTTTATGTATGCCTTGTTAAATGTGACTGTAAAACGAAAAAAAGATAATTTGTCCTTTATTTCTTTCACCAGAAAATGGTAAAGAAGTCTTCGCTTCTTACTTTAACATATACATTGCAATGCATACAGCCTTTCATGAAGGACTAAAAGAAGGATGAGGGAAGAATTGCCTGACACATCTATTTTGCCATATTATGAATTCACTAAACAGTTGTTTTTCATAAAACTTTGCGTTTGCTATTTTGCTTAACACTGTAGAACTCATTTTCTTTTCTGTGAAAAATCATTGTCTTGCGTTCTGTTCCTAGGTTATTTTTTTGAGTCACCATTCACCTTTCTCGATTTAGCAGGCCTGGAGCACCACTTCAGACCTCTGAGTGGTGCTAGAAAACCTGGTACATGATCGCCGTGGTTTGTTGCTTCCTTTAGCAATAGCTAGAGCTCAGGAAACGAGATCATTGGGAACTAAACCACTCTCGTGTAGATGCGATGCATGCCTAACAGCATGCTGGTAGACTAGAGCTGTTATTAGCCCCTGACTATGTGTATTTTAATACTGAGCATTATTACGGGTTGACTTCAAAGACTTGGCACAATTGACTAAAATTAGGTGTAATATTTTGCCTGTTAGAGTTCAAGGAGATCCTTTCTTTTAAAGCTTTGGCATTTGCATGTGGGACTTAGGTTTGGTTTGAAGATGCCTGCAGGSACATGCAGTCGGCTGCGTGTGCTGATGCTTTGCTCAAGTGTATTTTGATTCCTCTTTTAGAGCAAAGAAAGCAGCAATCTCCTGGCCTATGGCATATTGTGCGTTCACAGCCTTTGTTCTCACACAGCTCCTCATGTCGAATTCCATTCATTAAAAAATAATGTCCATGCTCAGAAGAAATGTTGACATGACAAATAGCAGGTTGTTGTGGTGGGGCTCTCCCTGTCGTCCCCCTGCAGTGGTGTGTGATTATTCAGGTTAGGTATCAGTAGTGAAAATCCCCACGTYGTTCCCACAAGTCCTGGTCTGCCTCAGATCTGCGGCACCACCTGAAGCGCAAGTTTCCTCTCTGCAGATCTGACTGGTGCAGGATGCTCTGCTGCAAGATACCCATGTAGATCAGTGCAGGATAATCTTATTACTTGCCTACAAATATCTTACTCTTAACCTYGATATTTTAGGTTCATCTCTTAAACCTGTTTCTTAGGTTTATCCCCTTTCCAGCACGCTGTTAGTATTGAAAATGTTCTTGTCTTCAGTGTGAGTTTCCAGACCCCGAGTCACTTTAGCATTAGCCAAAGTGGTCAAATAACTGCACAGAGGAGGAGGGTTTGGCTTCCTCCACCACCCCTAACRTGGTTATTCCTGTACACCTCTGCATAGATCTGAGTGCAGATACTGTATTTCTGTGCCGTACWAGATTTGGCTACAACAAATAACTCTTTAACCCAGTAGGCCAGAATAGTTAGCTACAAAATCGATGTACTTGTCCTAAAGAAGCCGGGCCAGTARCTGACCTTCCGAAGGCGCTGCCGCGGCGCCGGCCGCTCCTGGGCGCCTGCTCTGGGCCGCAGAGCACACGGAGGCGCACGCTCAGGCCTGGAGCATCCCTAGAGGCTTCGCTGAGGAGCCCTCGGCTCCCCCACGTGCCAGAGGGCAGGCAAAAACAGAACTGGCTTCCGAGTGGCCCACCCCTGAATACAAATCTGCTAGGGGAATATGTAATTGCTTTAACTTCTTTTCTTTTGAGGGAGACGCGAGTGCACAGAACTTGCCTGGTCAGCTCMTTCCAGCTCATTCCGCAGCTGCTGCTGCGGACAGTTTTTACACCGCACACACGTGTATGTGTGATCTGTGTTCTTGAAATAACCCTCACGCTCTCAGGGTGGCGGCGCTGACTCTGCAGCCGGCTGAGCAGGCAAATGCTGTGATGTAACACGGTGCTCTGGAAACTACAGAGCCTAAAAGCAAAATAAAGGCCTTTAATATTRTATGTAAAGCATTACAAATTGTAGGTAGTCTTCCACAGAGGCCTTTTTCGTTACCTGTTATGCTGTGTGCAGCACTGAACCGACGAGCTATGCCCTCACTTGCAGAAGGTAGAAAATGACTCTGGTGGGATATGGAGTGCTTACCCAGAGCTGTGGGGCATTAACTAAATCCCTGAAGCCCTCCTGGGCTAAGCCTTACTCCATTGTGTACTAGCCTCCCTCCTCATCCATCAGCCTCTCAGCAAGTGCATTGCCATGCCTCTGACCGCTTACAACAGTGTCCTGTCAAATACCTCCCCTGAGCCAGGTGCTAAGGGCTGTTGTCATGAATGACATTTCTGAGCATGTTGTTCCTTCCATGCTGCTTTCTATTGGGGTTTGAGAGCACGATTTTCCACGACTCCTGAGAGGAACATGGAAGTTCGCTCCTCTTTGCTAGCACATCTAGCACATCCCCTTCACGCCTACCGTTCAGCCCTTGGACTGCAGTCTGGCTGAGTGACARTCAATGAACTGAGCGGTTTGGACAGCGGGAATTTAGCTCGGATGGTTTTGTGCCCAGTCTTTGAGTCACCTGTTGCAGCGTGTGCTGAGAAGCCCTTTCTGTTGGGAAAGTTCTCGTGGTAGAGCAGAGATGACCCGGTCGTGTCCTCGTCCCCCGCTAGCGAGCTCGCGGTTGCGGCGCTGCATGGGGCTGTCAATTAGCATTATCTCCATTTGTTTTAGATCCAGACAGGCGCTCTGTCTCAACAATGAACCTTTCGAAACATGTTGATCCAGTCATTAACAAGCGGCTCTCCTCCTCATCTGCAACATTACTAAATTCTCCAGACAGAGGTACAGTTTAATAATGATAAAAAAGAAAAAGAAAATAAAAGAGAGAGAAAAAGAAGAGCAAGAAAGAATGTTCTGTGCTGAGGTATTGCTTTGCACATGGAACAAGCTTCTGAAGTCATTTTCTGTATTTTATCTAAATGGAAGTAGAAAGACTTCACATGTGGAAAGCAAACGGTTGAACATTTTTTCTGCAAGAATAAACGTGCGTCTCTTGTTTTATAAAACAAGAGACTTTGCCTGGACAATCTTACCTCGTCAAATACTAACTGTGGTGCTTCTGTCAGGTTTTTAGTAACTGAGGTACAGCTATTGAAAGAACACATCTCTGCATGGGGCATGCAACCATTTGTGACCTTTTATTTGCATTGCACCATCTTGGCATGATTTTGCTTTTCTTTCTACTTTGATAACAGTTTTTGAATGTCTAAGAACATGTTGCATGCAGCTTTCAAGCAATTATTTTGCTACCATTGCTGTGGTGATTTTTTTTTTTTTTTTTTTTTTTGTAATGAAGATGTATAGGTATGGATATTTTTCTGTTTATTGACTTTTTTGTGTCCAGTTAATGTTCAAGGGTTGCTTTATTTCAGTGTATGTTTTCAATGTTTGCAGGTCTGCACAAATAATTTTTTAATCTTTTTTTTTTAGTTGAGTAGTTGAGTTACTATTTTTCTTTCCTGAGGAGATAAGAGGTTGCGTAAGGTTATACGAGACATTCTTTACAAAGTTATTCCAAGSTCAGTGGTCAAGGAACAAATCTTCTGTAAAGTTGTTTCCCCAGCCCCCTGAGAGTGGGCAGAAGCACTGGGCRGGTTCAAGGCAGGTGAATGCCCATCTTCAGCAATTGTTAGAATGCAGTTTTAGTGGCAGAGGATAACAAATGGGAAGGCCTCCTGCTTTGTGCATCTGAGCTGCCCTGCTTTGTGTGCATGTTTGTGTGTGTGCTCTGGTTGTTTTGACAAGCAGTGCTTCAGTGCCTGATGGGTTAACCTAGTCTAGAGGCTGTCATGACTTGGGGAAAATACGGCATTATCTTAAAAGTTGCTTATTCCAAAGCACCRTTTTGGTGGGCTTGAAGTGCCGAGGTCCAGGCAGTTTCACTTGTAATGCCTTGGTAAGTGGCTCCTACCTCAAACTCTGGGCAATCGCTGTCCTTTTCCAGGGATGCTCATTTGCAGAAGTATCCTGGAGAAAAGGACAGCAGCAGGCCTTAAATAAAATAACTAAGTAAATAAAAAGAAGGATAGTCTTTTATAGACTGCAGCTCCCTGTGTGATCCTCCACATATTTTAAATTCTGCACAAGTTGCACTGAGTGCTAAGCAGTTTGATGCTGGGGAGAGGGAAAGAGGAAGAAGAGGAGAACCTTATATGAGAAGCGAAGGCAAAACCAGCCAAGAACTCTTGAGGGGTATCTCAGGTTTCTCAGAGAGCCAGAGATGCAAGAAAGCCCAAACTCTACAAATGCCTTTGTTGAGGACTAAGGCTTCGTATACCCAAATCTAGGGCAGCCCGTGCCRAGGAAGGGCTGCTGGCCTCTCCAGTGGCAGGTGCTGCAAGGCAGAGTTCACCTCTCTGCTCCCTTCCTCGCCTTCCAGAGGGCACCCGGGCACATTTTGTCCTTAGCACAAGCGTCCTCTCCCAAAGCAGGGAGCTGGAGATAAGAATGATGGGCTTATCCTAAGTGGCTTACAGCTGTCATCAAGAGCATGTCTTCTGCTAAGCAGTATTGGGTTTTCCCATTTGAAGGACGAGTTGCTTTTGCTGAAAACAACTTTTCATAAATAGATTGTCTAAAAGAGCGGTTCATAACTTTTCAAGCCTAGCATTGTTGTATAGCTCCACTGCAACTTGAAAATCAGTTAAAATAGGTGTTTTGCTGTACTTTTTTTACTGGCACAGGTGCAACTTGTTGAATCTTTGTCGGAAAAATGTGGTTAACAAACTATTCAAGTCGAGCAAGTGACTGATAGAATTTATTTGCTAAGCATCTCATTTTACATGAGGCCAGGAGCTGCACGCCTCCGTGGCTTCCAAAAGCGGAATTTGCACCACAATTGGGCCCTCCTCCTCCTGCTCCCCGCGGTGCTCTTTCTCTCCAAACAAATGCTGGGTTTTATGGCTGCCCCACCTTTGTGTCCGCCCCATCTGCAGCAGAAATTGGGGGCCTCTGCTATTGTCCCCTGCTGAAAGGAAGGCCAGAGGTAGAAAGCCCCTTCCCACCTCTCCTCGCCGGGCTCGTGGCTCTGTCCGAGCAGGCGCCGGGGTTGGCAGCGAGAGCCCGGCCTTGCGGTGCCCCTCGGGAGGGCTGGTAAATCCCTGCCTCCCATCTGGGCCTGGAATGAGCCAGAGGTGCCCTTGGGTTTCCTCATGGTGGGTTGTGCTGCTGCTAAGGCAGGGTTCCAGCAGGCACCTTGTCTGCCTCGAGGACAAGCCCAAGTATTTCAGTAACCCCTTCCCTGGGGTTGACTCTGGTGGGTGGCAGGAGGGGGAAGTTGGGGGCTTTTGGTTGAAGTTTTATTGTTTTATTTTTGTAGTCGGAAGCTTAGCGATAAAGGCCTCCTTTAATGTGGTCGAACTGACCCGCTGGTAGGGGTGCTCCCACCCCCAGAGCACTTCTAGTGTGGGGCTGAAGAGCAAATAGCCCTTTGAGTGATAGTCTRACACTGCACGAGAACAAAAAAGAGCTTTTTCCCTTCTCTCTTGGGTGATTAGAAGGACTAAAGCGTGAAAACACTGCCCCTAAGGCTTAAAAAAAAAAAAGGAAAAAAGAAAAAAAATCACTATTTTAAAGCCACTCCAAGACTTAAAAAAGAAAAAAAGAAAAAAAAAAAGTAAATTCACTACTTTAAAGCCACTTTGTTTTGGGATACGCTCAATTTGCTTCAGTGGGAACTGGATGCCAAAGTTGAGCTCTTTGCAGCATTTAGGTACTAATAACTGCTGTAGTTGGAGCTCAGAGGGGCAACATTTATTTGGATGCTCTTGGATAATGCTGATGACTGTTAAAGAGTATATGTTTAAAGTGCTAGTTATGGTGCTATGCACTGAGATCATTTAACAAGTAATGAAACTGGTCCACAAAGCTAAGCTGAATTTAGCTGATGAACTCCGATTTAAACCCGATTTAGAGGTACATCCAGAGTGAGCTCCGGGCTGTTCTTTTGCACATGCCTTGGGGAGCAGCAGTTTTGCCTGTCTCGGAGCTCACTCCGTGTGCTGACCGGCCCCTCCGGATCCCACAGGCCGCCCTGCTGATGTTCCTTGGGTGCTGCGGGGTGGCTTTGCTGCCACTGGGYCATGTGGATGAAGGGAAAACTAGAATTAAATCACATCTAGTCATGTCAGCCGCCTAAGGGTGAACGGACACAGCTTGCATTCCTGGAGCACCTTTTCCCAGTTGCGGCCCGTTAAGGACATTAGTGGCCCCAGCCCCTCGTGGGAGGCCTGCAGGTGGCCCTTGAACAAGATGATGTTGTGACGTTTGCTCACCTGCTCTCTGCGAGTGTACAGGCTACCTCCGAGGAGTCCGTGATGCGCAGGACTGACGTGCTGGCCCCAGATGGGAGGGATCCTTTCCTAAGGCATGGATCTGACTTTTAGGCAGCATTCGTGTCCTTCTCATAACTGGCAGATGATTTTGTTAAGCTACAGTAGACACAACGTAGTAAAGCTCAGTACGCACTGAAGCATTTCCTTGTCCCTAAGCTTCATTTGGTAGAGCCTGAGAAAACACAAAAAAAAMCCAAGAATAGCTAAAGCAATGGTCGTATGAAGCACAAATCCCAGAAAAGGAAGGAAACAGGGATTCTTCGATATTGCATCCAGTTTAACAGTAGTTCTTTGATTTTTTTTTTCCATTGTTAAATTATAAGCTTAATATGTGGAATTCTCTTTGGGATATTTTGCATCTCTGTGTAACTTGTACAGACTTGGAATGGACCCATGAATCGCAAGGAGCTCTGGCACTAGTACCYGTGTAAAGACACTTACCAGGACAGCCTGCTCTGTTTGAGCCCTCTGTGTCTGTAGTGATGCCACTTACCAGGTTGGCAGAATTCAGGGGGGCAATTAGAGAATGGAGTCAAAAACCAGCACTGAGGGCAGGTTAGGCAATTACAGCCTCCCAGGATGAGGCTTTGAGATGAGCCTGGCTCTTTGTGGAGCCCGGCGTGGAATAAACCAGAGAGAGATGCAGCATTTATGGCTACTAGAAGTGATGCATCTCTACCTTTAAAAATGCAGGTTAATCTCTAACCTCTTGTAGCCAGTTGTTTCGTGGTTGAGGCTGCAGTTTTGTTGTCATAAACACAGAGCTGAYGCATAGGAAGTGCTTTGCTTCTAAACATGAGGAAAAGCTTCTTTACTGTGAGGGTGGCTGGGCAGCCGAATAGGTTGCCTAGAGAGGCTGTGGAGCCTCCAGCCTTAAAGACATTTGGAAAATTTTGGACAGGGACCCAGGGGGGTGACCCTGCTTGAGCAGGAGGTCGGACTGTGTGATCCCTAAAGGTCCCTTCCCACCTCAGCCGTGCTGCAAAGGATCTGACCTTGAGCCTAATGTTAAGTTCATGAACTAAGCTTACTGTAATGAACTGGTACGGGAACTAGCTGAATATTCTTTTCTGGAGTGTTCAGTATAATACAATTTTGTTTTGTTACATTTATCTGACTTGTTAAAGAAACATCCAATTCCCTTGAGCAGTAATTTATAGGTTGTTCTTGGCTACCGTGTCACCATGATCTGTGTTTAAGTRGTATTTTTTGAATATTAGAACAAATTAAAGGCAAAAGGAGTACACTAAGAGGCTAAGCTTGCAAATACTGAGAAAAGCTAGATGGGAGAATGATTGCAGCTAGGTCAACATGCAATTAGCCTCTTCAACAGAGGCTGATTAATCATTAAAAAGTTGACTCTTGCTGTTGTTCTAAGTAGAAAATTATTATAAGCAGAGTTTTCTTGACATGGAATTAAAAGTACCTGCTGTTCTGGGGCATTATGAATACCCGAGGCGACTGTAGCTGCTGCATGGTACATGCAGCTGGGGTGTTCTGTGTGTTTCTGAGGTGTGTTTTTTACTCACACTTGGGCCTTCATAGAACCTCTTTCTCTGATATAATTCTCCATGTGCTAGTGACCTTGTGGCCTTTTATTTTTTTTAAAGGTCATTGTTCCTTCTATCTAGGTTTAACAGACTTCAGAAGATGCCTGTGTAGCTCACTTTTTTTTTTTTTTTTTTTTTTTT